GGAACCCAGGTGTCAATGTTTTTAAAACACTACAAAGATAATTCCAATGCACAGGCAAGGTCAAGAATCCCTACTATAGACTCAGCTCCATCCCCCGGTCTGGAATCCTCTAAGGGCTGACAGGAGTTCTAGTCCACTGCTCCGAGGAGTCACAATCAAATTACAAAGCTAGAATGACTTACTAGTTCCAGAAACTGATCTTTTAGAGTTGCAGGCCCAAGAGAAAAAAAAAAAAGGAATAATTTTGGACATAGGTAGGGTTTCTTTTTTATTAAAAAAATTTTTTATTAATGTTTATTTTTGAGAAAGAGAGAGCACACAAGCTGGGGAGAGGCAGACAGAGAGGAAGGCACAGAATCCAAAGCAGGTTCCAAGCTCTGAGATGTCAGCACAGAACCTGATGCAGGGCCCGAACTTAGGAACCGCCAGATCATGACCTGAACTGAAGTCACATGCTTAATTGACTAAGACACCCAGGCACCCTGGTAGGGTTTATTTTTAAACCTGGATCAGATACTTACATTATCTGTATGGTCTTGGACTTTTTTTCTCACTGAGCCTCACCTTCCTCATCTATAAAATGGACCAATGATACCTGTGGCCAGGTTGCTACCATTGCTTGTCTTATTAATGAAACCAAACCTTCTCTCCCATTTACCCTAGCTTTGGAAGCTTCTAATTTTAGAAATATCTAACATCCTATCTTGATAACCTTATATTCTAGAGCTTGGCCTCTTCCTCATTCATGAAGATGTCTTCTCAATGACTATAACCTTTCCTTGACACCAGCCCAATGCTGGTATTCTACTCCCTGCTGATAGATTGTCCTGATTTTATTTTTCCATGCACGTATACTGTGTGAGCTGCCCCTTCTAGACTTTTTGTTTCTGGGCCTATGCACCTAACTGTTGGCACATTCCAGAACTTCTTCCTGCATATCACTGATAGTTGTTGCCTCTAAGTACACATATAGGGCACCAAGTTCCATCAGCCTGACTAGACATTCTCTTGGTACCTCTAATTGGGCAATCATCCCAAATTCCAATTCAACCCTAGGGATTGTACTGGGTTTGCTCACTAAATCAGGATTTGTGGAGCATTTACCAAACCCAAGCACTCTGTCTCTGCACTCACAGGCTATTTGTAGAAGAGTGGGGGGAGATCAACAACAAAAGGTGTAATAAGAACAGGGACAATTTTAGGCCTTCACCATCCCTTTATTCTCTTTTCTTGTCAGAGACTAATACTTTTATATTTATTTTTGTCACAAAATAGGATCACTGTTAATTTTTTATTTGGGGGGAGGGCATGGCAAGGAAAATTGTTATTGGCTACGTAAGTTAGGTTGGATCCTCCTGTTTTGCTCTACATAACTGGAGTTGGATTATTCATTTGTTTCTATAATTTTTCGAAGCTCACTTCCTACTCTTTGGCCTAGTGCAAGCACACACTCAATTCTATGTTGGGATCATCCTTGTGAATCTACAGTGAACTCCATACTTAAGAAACAATTTAGAATGCTATATGGAAAGGGTATCCTCTGGCTCTCTAAAAACGAATCTGGCTCCATCTGTCCATTTCTATAAAGCCCTTACAGCTATGTGAGCAAACAAGTCTCAAAGAGAAAAGTAATTTGGTGGCCTTTCCAGCAATCTACATTATGGAGCAACCAGTGAGGATGTTATATAAACCACCCTTGTGACTGTGCTCATCAGCCCCGATTCCCCTCTGTGCCTTTCTAATGATCTTTATGGTCTCCATGGTTGCCAGCAACTTTATATTACCCACAGGAGGAATGCAAATGACTGATTGTACCAGAGGCAATGGAGAAGTTACATATGGCTCATAGGGGTGTAGGTGATGATGACAATGATGATAATGATGATTATTGTTATTTTAGCACTTTACAGAATTCAGAAGTAATTGCTGCCTCCTGACCAGTCTACGTAGGACCAGTTAACCTTGAAGTTGTCTGACTTGCTTTGTGGTGATCAGGAAGGGCTAGCTTAGCAAAAATTACACGGGGGAAAAAGCTTAGGTTTAGTAAATCTGTCTCTACTGTTAGGCGTCTAGTGTCCTTGTGCTGGTTTCCTAGAGTGCCCTCTGCTGGGCTCCGACCAGGTCAGCTGATTCTGGGCAATAGCCCTTGAAACCCATGCCTCAACTCTCATTAAAATAATTACCACTTTATGTCATATGTCATCAAAATCCCAGTACTTGTTTTCCAAGCTGATAATTAATTCAGGTAAATTAACCTATGTCAGTGAGTAAATACATATTATTGTATAACTGGGGGGGGGGCGGAACACAACAATGCCCCTTACAGATCACAGAAGTGTACACTTTCAGAGTGACTTTATGGGAGATAACTCTTCTACTTAGTGTCTAATTCACTGGATTAATGGTGGGAATGGACACCAGGCATATGGGGAGCGCTAGTTCTGAGAAATCAAAGGGAAACTATTCTCCAACAGTCAGGACCTTATGGCTTCCCTCAAATTAAACATTGTGGGCAGCTGTCTCCTCTGGCTATCTATATGGTCAACCCCCACAGAGGTAATTTTCATTCTGCCAGCAGGAAAAGAATGAACAACATTGTTTACTTTTAAGTTTTTATGAAGAATGCCTTGTGCTCTTTGGAGGATATCTAAATCCTGATAACAAGTATGTGGCACTGTTTAGTGGATTAGTCTGTTCATAAAGATGTGTATAGGGTATATATTCATTGGCATGACCCCTGTTGCCCTATGTACTTTCTTGTCTACTGAAATCAGTTGGGCAATCCCTGTCTGTAAGCACATTTCCCAAGAACTGGTTAGAGCCAGTCTTCATAAAGAGGAACCTATTATGAAACCAGCTCCAGAGGATATTTACTTTGTTGAAGTTCTACTGAAAGATACACTTACTTGAAAATGAAATTGCTTTCTTTTGGCTCCCACCTAGCCCCTTGAAAACCAGAGACTCTTGGGGCTCATTAACAATCAGACACAGAAGGGAGAGGACTGCGGGGACTGATGTGTATTTTTCTGTAAGCTTTCTCATTGAGTAAGCTGGTATTTTCATTGAATATATGTTTCAAGGATATCAGCTAAATTAATAGCATATTATAAATGTAAATATGCACCCCAAACTGAGAGCTTGGGGAACACAGCACAAATAGTTTGAAGCCTCACCTTTGGTCTTAAAATTAAATGTGAATTTTTTTTTAAAAAAGTTTTTTTAACATTTATTTATTTTTAAGAGACAGAGAGAGACAAAATGTGCACAGGGGAGAGGCAGAAAGAGAGGAAGACACAGAATCCAAAGCAGGCTCCAGGCTCTGAGCTGTCTGCACCAAGCCCGACATGGGGCTCAAATCCAGAACCGCGAGATCATGACCAGAGCCCAAGTCGGACGCTTAGCTGACTGAGCCACCCAGGTACGCTTAATGTGAAGTCTTTTGTGTTTTTTTTTTTTTAAATCTTTCTCTTTAACATATCCGTGTTTAAGACAAAATAATATTTTAGGTTGCATTCCAGTTATTAAATCTTCAGCTAAATAAACATTGCAGTAAAAAATATTACCTTTATCTTAACAGCTCCTGATATAAAATTGTGTGTCCCCAGGGATATATGTATTCAAATTTGAAAAACACAAGCTCACAGAAATAGGTAGGGAGAGGATCCAGTCTGAGATAAATGTGTATTAATGATCAGGCAGTTGGTAAGGATTAGCCTCAGTTTTGTCGTGGATAACTTTCACAGGGAAACAGTGGCGTTTCCTGATAAGATGCAGTGCATAGTTGTAATGACATAGGGATGTTAAGAGTATCTGGATACCACCAGAGTTGAAGAGAAAATCAACTCAAAATACAGAATGATCAAGATAGATATGGAAGAGGCAGAAATATGATTGAACTACGGCAGATTTCCTGGGTTCCTTAAAGATCTGCTGTTACTGCAGATGCACTAAGTAAAACAGCAGGACAAATAAAGAGGAAAATTCTACATATTAATTTTTGCATGATACTATTTTCTCCTTCCTTTCTGAAATTTTAAAATGAATATCCTTTTAATGTTCAAAGAAGAATATATTTTTATCACTAGTGTTTTACAATTGTTATTTGCAATATATTTATTCTAGAAGTTAATGTGTGTTATTTGAAATTCATAGCATGTTTTCCAAGAGAAAGGGTCTTATTACCAGTGAGTTTTCATGCCCACCTCCAAAGTATATATACAAGGTATCTGGAATAGGTAAGGGATAGGAGTAAGAGACTATCTGCATTTTTTTTGTAAACACATTTGATGCAAGTGATCCAAATAATACTATGAGAAATTCTATTATAAGAGGTTGACAACTCTTGTGATGAGAGCAAGAGACTGAGGGCACTGGCTGAAAGTTCAGGACAAGGTTGCAAGGGGATGTATACACGTATCAAGCCAGCTGTCCAGCCCATAATCCCTCCACTCTACTACCTGGTACCTTACTACACATCCAACAAGAGTAGTTACTTTGGCAACTATGCCAAAACTGGTGGAACCATTGAAGGACACCTAACCTAAGGTAGGCCAACTACACATTTTAACTTGGGAATTTGCAACTGGAGACAGCAGGGTTATTTGAAATGAAGAGATTTCCAGGAGCCCCAGAGATCCAGTCCTGTTAAGAGAATGTGTAAGCAAAGGTCCAGCATGCATGGAAAAAGAATGAAAACCACTGCAAGAAAAGAGATGAGGAATTCTGTGTTGGGGGTGGCAGGGAGAGTCAGAAAAATTGAAAGAGGGAGGGAGAAGTAGCAAACCAAGAAAACCAGAGGGAAAGAATTTTCCTCGGAGCCTGTCAATTTGCTACTTAAAAAAAATTTTTTAACTGTTTATTTTTGAGAGAGAGAGAGAGAGAGAGCGTGAGCAGGAGAGGGGCAGAGAGAGAGGGAGACACAGAATCTGAAGCAGTCTCAGGCTCCAAGCTGACAGCAGAGAGCCCAACGTGGAGCTCAAACTCATAAATCACGAGATCATGACCTCAGCCAAAGTCAGATGCTCAACCGACTGAGCCACCCAGGTGCCCCTCAATTTGCTATTTTATCTGCTAGTCCCTCCTGTAGTCTAACTATGTTTTGTATTAGGTATTTTTTGTGTCCTTCCAATAAACTTCTCTTTTTCACTTAAGCTAAACTGAATGTGTTCCTAAGTGAGAAGACAACTGAGAGTTTGGGGAAAGAAAAGACATAATGAGATGTATCTTACTCTCTCTGCAGCCTTCTGCCTCCCATCTCCATCCATTCTCCCCACCGCCTTCCTCTTTCTCCAGTTCCTTGATCTTTAGATACTCTTCCTTTTCTATTTTTTTTATATGTTTATTTATTTTTGAGAAAGTGCAAGCCGGGGAAGGGCAGAGAGAGGGACAGAGGATGCTAGCAGATTCTGCGCTGACAGCACAGAGCCTGATGTGGAACTTGAACTCACAAGCCACGAGATCATGACCTGAGCTGAAGCCAGACACTCAGTCGACTGAGCCACCCAAGTGCCCCTCCTTTTATATTTTTAACAAACTTGTCTCTTCCCTCCTGAAGAGGAAGAGGACTCCCTTTTCTTTTCTCACCTCTGGTCCTATCCAAGTCTTGAGGCTTTCCTGCCCTAAATAGATGCCTGGCCAGCATGCTAAGGAAGGGAGCAGAGGGCATTCCTAGGAACCACTTGGGCAGGGATAGGGAAAGGACTCCTGATACTAAATACAATAAGTGGAGTATAGTTATTTAAAATAGCACGTTTTTTAAGCACACTAAATTTTAAGAAGCAGCTTCAAGCTGACTTGACAGTATTTACATGTAACATAAAAATGTTTATTACTCTCTTTGCAATTTAATCTTATGTAACGTTTGACTTGATGAAACACTTCTCTGTTCCATCAGCTTCAGTTGCACTATAGCTTGGCCTTTAAAAATTAGATGCTCTTCACTGAACTGAGAAAGCATTGCAGATGAGGAATAAAGGTCTAGATTTGTTACAAACTTAAAATATAAAAGGCCATACATAAGAGTTATGACTATCGTCAAAGTCCTCACTATGCCGTGAGGGCTGAGAGAAAAACGCTCCAGTTTAGGCTTGGGTTATTTTTCTGAAGCTGTGGGCTGAGTCGCTGACAGCTCACCTGACCAAGGCAGACACCATATTTGCCTTGAAAGGAAGTTGGCTGGTTTCCCCCTGCCCCCCACTATTGTATGAGAACAGGAGAGATGTAGCTTAATGTGAACTGACAGAGTAAACAACTTGGATGCTACCTCAGCTCTACTGCTCACTGGATAGCTAGAGGAATCTGAGTAATTACAATTTTCCTAGGTCTCAATTTTCTCACATTTATTAAACGTGAAATCCTTTCTTCAAACAAAACCATAAAAAGTGAAGACTTTTTTTTTTAATGTTTATTTGTTTTTGAGAGAGACAAAGCCCAAGAGGGGGAGAGGCAGAGAGAGGGGGAGACACAGAATCTGAAGCAGGCTCTAGGCTCTGAGCTGTCAGCACAGAGCTGAACGCAGGGCTCAAATTCACGTACTGTGAGATCATGACCTGAGCCAAAGCTGGTCACTTAACCGACTGAGCCACCCAGGTGCCCCAAAAAGTGATTTTAAGTAGACTTGTGATCTAAGTGCTCTAAAAACAAAAACACTAGTAAAACATAGCAAATATCCTTTAGAACCCATAGCCGATTTCATAGGAAAGTAAGAAATTTCCGGAATTCAGAAGGAATCTGTGAGCCCAGCCATTGTTTGCTATGTCCCCTGCATGCTCCGGTCAAGCCTCCATCACGGTTTACTGTGAGCCAATGTGAAAGGTCTTGTCTCCCCAGCAACTTGCCCCTCCAAACCATTCTCCTAGGTGCAGCCAGAATGGGCTAAGATATAAAATACAAACAAAATCAATTAACTTCCCTGTTTGAATCCCTTCTGTGTTCAACCACTGCTATAAAGATAAAGCCTAAAATCTTATCATGGACCCAGCCTACCTCTCCTAGCCAGTATCCAGCTATACTGGTTTTCTCTGGGTCTCTGAACAAAGAAATTCCTCTGCCGGAAACAGACCTTACTCTGCTCGCCCCCTGCCCCAGCTTTCTCTCAGCTCATCATCCTCCAGTGCTCTACTCAATGGCACTTGAAAGATTTTCCTTGATTCCCCCCAAACCAAGACAGACTCCCTTGATTATACTCTATCAGTTTTCTGTACTTCTTCCTAGCATTTATCACAATTCCAACCACACAAGGATTTAGTCGTTTCATATCTGTCTCTCCTGCTATAATTTAGGCTCCATGAAGGGAGGGATTGTATCTATCTTATTCTCTATTATATATATAATATTCTATACATATCCTATATAGTAGTCAATATAATAGAACATAATATAACCCCCGTAATGAGCATGGAATTTTCCACAGGTGATTGAAAATACACTGAGTGAATGATCTATGTGTACCTGAGGCTAATATTAAGTACTCTCCACCTCACCCATAATATTCTGCCCACTACTTTATTATAAGGTAAGAATTTCTTTTCTTTTTTATGAAGAACTCTTTTTAAGTTTACTTTTATTTATTCTGAAAGAGAGATAGAGAGCAAGCTGGGAAGGACAGAGGGAGAGAGGGCAACAGAATCCCAAGCAGGCTCCATGCTGCCAGCACAGAGCCCAACAAAGGGCTGGAACTCACAAACCGCGAGATCATGATCTGAGCTGAAATCAAGAGTCAGATGCTTAACTGAGGAAACCACCCAGGCACCCCAGAATTTCTTTAAATAGGGGAAATATTTGGGGTGCCTGGGTGGCTCAATTGGCTGAGGGTCCGAGTCTTGATTTTGGCTCCGGTCATGATCCCATGGTTATGGGATGGAGACCCACACTGGGCTCTGTGCTGAGCCTGATTAGGATTCTTTCTGTTTCTCTCCCACTGCCCCAGATGGTGTGTGCGCACTCTCTAATTTAAAAAGAAAAAAAAAGTGCTTCTGACCATGCTCTGACCATGAGCTTAGAGAAAGACATTTTCTAGGACTAAAACCTCCACCTCAGAACTTTAAACCAACAAAGGTGTCAAACACTTTTTCTTCTAACTCTCTCATAACTGAGAACAAACTGATAAGGAGAATCCTATAGAAATTCCACCCTAATTCATAATGCCTAACTTTTCTCATCTTTTATTATACACAGTAAAAGTAACCAGAAAAAGTAATTTTTGAATAGCATCAAGAGGGTAAATTCCTATTTCAGATTTGATTTTATTTTTTAAAAAAATTTTTTGTTTATTTATTTTTGAGAGAGAGAGAGAGACAGAGTGTGAGTGGGGGAGGGGCAGAAAGAGAGGGAGACAGAATCTGAAGAAGGCTCCAGGCTCTGAGCTGCCAGCACAGAGCCCGATGCAGGGCTCAAACTCACCAACCATTGAGATCATGACCTGAGCTGAAGACGGACACTTAACCGAATGAGCCACCCAGGCACCCTTCAGATTTTATTTTTTAATCTGAAAAGTTAACTTTAATTTCTACAATTATAAAAAAAAAAAAAAAGATAAATATCTCCCCACCTGGCATTTCCAAAGATCCACAGATAAGGTATTACTAAAGATTTACCTATCATGACCTCCTTTTGCAAATCTCCTACAACCTACAAATTTTTTAACAATCACGATAGGCACTGTTTCTTGTTAGAAACCCTAGTTATACCTCACAAAACCCTTTAACAACCAACCAACAAAGCTTGGTGGTAGAAATAAGCGTAATATCTGGAGTACTTTCGTTAGCCTTTGCTAACTTTTAAAAGTATGATGACTTTTTTCTTAGGCTATTTTATTTCATGAAGAGCAATCCAAAACATTTAATTATTCCACAGAGACCTCATTTTCAATTCCTTAAGAATCCCTTCTGGTCCCTCTCTGAATCTCCCTAGATCCTCTAGGGGCTATTTTATGGATTATTGGAATAGTCTGCTCAGTGCTGAGAATTTAAAGATCTATTATCTTTCATTTATTCATTCCTTCAACAACTACGGGTCAGGACTATGAGCAGCACTGGTGTTAGATAAAGGCAGTGTCCAGCTCTAGCAGAGACTAGCTGACTGCTCAGCTCACCAAGTCATTTGCTCTTTGCCCAGATACAGACCTAGACCACTTTCCCAGCCTCTCTATTTAGGTGTGGCCCCGTGTCCGAGCCCCGTGGCTTAGGGGAGTAGGGCATAAGTCCTATATGACAGTAGCAGACCCGATCTGCCACACTTCCTTCCCCTTTTTCTTTCTTCTTCTTTTTTTTAATGTTTATTTATTTTTGAGAGAGGGAGAGAGAGAGACAAACAGAGCACCAGTGGGGAAAGGGCAGAGAGAGAGAGAGAGAGAGAGAGAGACAGAATCTGAAGCAGGCTCCAGGCCCTGAGCTGTCAGCACAGAAACCGACATGGGGCTCAAACCCACAAACCATGAGATCATGTCTTGAGCCAAAATCAGAAGCCTAACCAATTGAGCTACCCAGGTGCCCTCTTTCCCTTTACAAAGTAAACATTTACTGAAACTGGCTGAACCACCAGATGGAACTTGAGACCCCAACTTGTGCTTGGAGTGGAGTCACCTGACAATCAGAAACGTCTCTTTTGGACTTCACTGAGGCAAGAAATAAATCTCTACTGCATTTAGCTACTTAGATGTAGGAGTTTATCTCCTATGCTAGCTACTAGTGCCCTAAAACACTGCAGTAAAAATCAAATGGGAAACTATCTTTAGTAAGCAGTATACAGTACAGTGCTTTGGTAGTGGTGAAATGTGCTATAATCTAAGTTCAGAAGATGGCCTGGGAGTCAGGCATACAAGAGATGACATCTGAATTAAATTTTGAAGGCTAAGTGTCAGGCAAGCTAAGCAGGGAAAGGGTATTCAAGGCAGAATTTCAGGTACAAAAGCTCCCAAGCAGGAAAGAGAAATGTCAAAAGATTAGAAATTTGGGAAGCATTTACTTTAAGGAGAATGTTGGAGATATGAGCCTAGAGAGGTATACAGAGGCAAACTAATGGAGGAGAAATAGACATCTAGCAGGCAAAGAACAGGTGGGCAGAGGGCATTCTGGGCAGGAAAACAGAATGTATGAGACCCAGAGTTATTAAAGAGCACAGTGATCTCTGGAATTTAAACACAAATTACCAGAAAAATAAGACAGGTGGGACAATGAGAATGGAGTAGAAGTTAAGACCTTTGTTCTCCTTCCCTTAATTCTGAAGACAATACAGCACTAAGGAGTCTTAAGCAGGGGTAATGGAACATATTTTCTCTTTATAAATATTACTCTGGTCAGAAGTCATGTGGAAAACAGATGAGGTTTTATGTAGTCTTTTAACCAAACAGTGCTGGTGGAGGGGTCTCCTACCAAAAATGTTATTGTGATGACACTGAATTCAACCTTAACATTTGATGACAGATAAGTTTTAATGCTAATAGATCATCATAAGGATGTGCCAGATTAGGAAAGACTAGAAGCAGGGAGACACATTAGGAGGCTCTCAAGATTGTCTAGGACACTGATGGTGAGAGTCTGAGCTAAAGTGGAGCCAGAAGAAATAAAGAAGAGGGTAAGCATTTGAGAAATACCAGGCTCTGTGCTAACAGCAAGGAGCCTGGAGCCTGCTTCAAATTCTGTGTCCCCCTCTCTCTCTGCCCCTCCCCTGCTCACACTCTGTCTCTCTCTCTCAAAAATAAATAAACATTAAAATTTTTTTTTAATTTGAGAAATCAAAGAGGGGGACACAAACATCAGAGATGACTTGGGTTATCTTGGATGAGTAGAGACACGGTAATGCTAGTCACCCAAGAGGGGCACAACATAGAAGAAAAACTGGGAGGAAAAAAAAGTTTGGTTTTGGGAATGCTGATACTGAGGAGACCAAGGTACATCCAAGTGGAAATGGTGAGTCTTCATTTGGAAAGAAATACAGGCTCAGGTTGGCAAAGATCAGAAAAGGGGATAAATTGCATTGTTTCATCAATGTATAGAGGTCCCAGTAGAAGCCTGAATGAAAGCAACAGAGATTGTTCAGTGTCAGTAGAAAGGAGGGCCAGGTATGGAAGCTTAGGGGCCACTTCCATTTCAGCATCCAACCAACTAAAAAAAGAGATGGACGGAGTAGGAGGAAAGCACTTCCGAAGCAATGTCTCAAGTCCAGAACGGTACAATCATAACATGCAACCAAGCATGTTAAATACTGCAACAGTCAGACCCAGAGGCTTCTATATTGGTGATACACAAGATCTTGGAGACCTCCTGGGTAAAAGTTTAGTGGAATGGTGTCAAGAATGAAAGCCAGGTTATGGTGAATGTGGGGAAGGCAATGATGTGAAACCAGCAAATGTCACTATTCTTTTTAGAAATTTTGCAAAATGGCTGGAGATGGAAAGAAATGTAGGATGGAGGAAAGACTTTCCTAGGAAGAAAAAACATGAAAATGTCCATAAGCACGGGGGATGGTTGTGATGAAGGGGAAGACACTGAAGATGAAAAAGCCTGGGGAGAATGATAGCTATGGTTGTGCTGAGCATGGCTGGTGTAGAGACTTGTCAGATCACTGTGTTGTACACCTGAAACTAATGTAACACCATGGATCACCTATTCCTCAAAAGAAATTCAATCAATCTTGAGAAGGAAAAAAAAAAAAAAAGCCTGAGGATAACAGGCACCAATAGGATCCAAAAGGATCCAGTAGGATCACTAGTATCACTAGTACCTAGAAAGAGAGATGTAAACACAACAAAGGTATTAAGCACTGATTGACTGGATACATGGGACTCATCTGAAAACCAACAACACCTTTTTAGACAATCTGTGGATACATGCTGTTTCAGTCCTACTTTCCAACTAGTTCTCTTTAGAACTTTGTTATAATTTGTAATTTAAATGAAGTATTTTGTATTCCAATGCCACTAACTTTGTGCCATTTCAATTGAGTCAATAAAAAAAAAAAACTTTTTCTATTTTGTCTCTACTTCTCTATGTTTAAATCAGGTTATCTGCTACTTATCTGCTTTGCTCAAGTAGACATTTAATAAAATGGGTGTTCTTCTAGTTTTGAATGTTTCATGGAACAAAAGGTGACAAAGGGATCTAGAGTCAGAGAATACAAACTGGAGTCTAGTTTTATCTTACACTAAATGTAAACAGGTTTAGTATTTGCATCATAGGAATTATAAATAAACTTCCTTATTGGACTATTATGAGATAACATCAATTAAAAAGTCTGTACAAATATAGACTTCACTATTCAAAAAAAAATAATGTGATAATAATGTGGAAATGTTGGGGTTTGGAGCAAACGGTCAAGAAAGAATTCTTGAGATTTCTTTGGTGCAAAAAGGTAGTTTTATTAAAGCACAGGGATAGGACCTATGGGCAGATAGAGCTGCCTTGGGGTTTTGTTTTGGTTTTGGTTTGTTTTTTAATGTTTATTCATTTTTGAGAGAGAGAGAAAGAGAAAGATCATGAGTGGGGGAAGGGCAGAGAGAGAGGGAGACACAGAATCTGAAGCAGGTTCCAGGCTCTGAGCTGTTAGCACAGAGACCTACTCAGGGCTCAAATCCACAAACTGTGAGATCGGGACCTGAGCCGAAGCTGGATACTTAACCAACTGAGCTACCCAGGGGCCCAGCACTGGAGTTTTAACAGGTGACTAATTACACAATTTTAAGTTGGGAGGGGGTTAGGAATGGAGTCAGTCTAAGTAATCTTGGAAGCAAGGTTCCCAGGACCTTGAGGGGGGTAGCTCTTGTTACAAAAAGGTCATTTATTACTATCTAATAAAACCTTAGTCATGAGACCCTTCAGATGTGTATCAATGAGCTATAAGCTTTGGGGATGATTGCCAACATAGACCTTGAGGGGTTGAGACAAAGGAAGTTTCCAAAGGAATTGTCATATGTTAAAAAAGACTTACAGGATCCTGGAGGGTCAGGATAATGTTAAGCTAAGATTGCCTTCCGTCCCTTAGCAAAGTGTCATCATCAAAACAGCTGAGCTCACAGAGGAAGGTCACTCTGCCTGCCTCAAGGACTTGTCAATGGGCTGTAAGTAGCAAGGAAATTTAATCTTTTCCTTTGCCTTTGTTTCCCACATCAATAATTCCCTTAAAGAACAAAATAACATCATTTCTACAGATATATATTTCATTCAGTAAACAACAAAAATCAACCAGCAAAGTTAAGTGAGATTGAAAAAAACCTTCCTTTGAGGTTCTCCAAGGGGATTATTGATTTCTGAGAACATATAAGGAAGGTATGTTTTGGACAAATAGCCCCTATCATTCAGAGTGAAATATTGACGGTAAGCATTTAAAGCATAAAGATAAAAATGGACACAATGATCGAAAGGAATTAAGCATATTTGTGGCTTGGCATTTTATATTAATTTTTTATACATAAACAACAATTTAAATTTTTGTTTAACATTTATTCATTTTTGAGAGACAGAGAGAGACAGAGCATGAGTTGGGGGAAGGGCCAAGAAAGAGGGAGACACAGAAACCAAAGCAGCCTCCAGCCTCCAAGCTATCAGCACAGAGCCCAATGTGGGGCTCGAACCCACAAACCATGAGATGATGACCTGAACCGAAGTTGGATGCTTAACCAACTGAGCCACCCAGGCACCCCTATAGTGGATTTTGTTTCCAACTTGCTGTTGGTATTTTGCTCTTTTTGAGTTACCTTTGTTACATGCTATGTGCTGCTTGTATATTATTATCTTTGAGAAATTATCATATAAAGTAAGGATTTTTAAAATTAATTTATGTTTTTTAGTCATCCCTACACCCAATGTGGGGCTTGAACTGATGACCTGGAGATCAAGAATTGCATGGTCTTCCAACTGAGCCAGGCAAGTGCCCCTAAAGTAAGGTTTTTTGATGAGAAAATAAGCTCTTGATTTTTAAAATAATTATAAGCCATTCTAAGGCCTAATGATATATGGAGACATTGAGCCTTACATTTATCAGCTTTGAAGAGTTACCACCCACTTGTTGGAATGAGCACTGGGTGTTGTATGTAAGAACCATGGAATCTACCCCCAAAACCAAGAGTACAGGGTACACACTGTATGTTAGCCAATTTGAAAATAAATTATATTTTTTAAAAAATGAAGAGTTAGCACCCAACATGAGCAAATCCCAAGAGAAAAATCTTTAGACTCACTTAACCATTTACTGTTTTTATTTTCTTTTGTTTTTTTTGTTTTATTCAGTGCTATGCTTTTGACTCTACTTGAAGATTCTTCAGGTAAGTCCAACCCACAATGGTCTTCTTAGACTTTGAATTTCTTTGTTAGAACCACTGATATTTAACCGTTTCATTCATTGACTATTTTACCCTTGACTCTAATGGAATCTCCTATGAATGTCACGTATACTCTTTTGGTGTTTCCCACAATTTTCATCCCACTGCTTCGTGTGTATGGTCAATAATGCATTTAACTGCAAGCATTTAACGGAGTTTTCCTGCCCATTAGTCCAAGCCTTAACATCACTACTAATTGAGCATGGTAAGACTACTACTTCATCAGTTTGGCCCGCCACCCAGGGACAGCACTGTAATACCAATTCTCTAAGGCAGCCAGAAGACTGGTCCATAGTAGTCAGGATCACCAGTGCTGGGAAGGACAGCACACAGACTCAAAAATCTCAGTGATTTAATATAACCAAGATACATATTTCTCCTTTCCTTGATGGTCTCATATATATGTGATCACTTCTACCATTTTGTTGTTATACCACCACAACAAGACAGGGAACAGGCTGGGAATCTTAAGGGGCCAGGCCTGGAAGTGACCATGGTCCTTTGCCCTCATCCTATGTGCAGAGCTAGTCACATGGCCCAGACCTGTCAGGGAGGCTGGGGAATGTGGAAAGCATACAGGTATTTTGTTAAGCACTATTGTCTCTGGTCATCTAGTCTAAACCTCTTTTTTTTTTTCAACTAAAATTGACAACAACTTGACCATCTCTGTCATTGTCACTCCTTAAGTCTGAGCAGCATTAGGAAAGTTTACTTTCCATCTCAGTGGGTTCCTTGAACAAACGATTTGGGAAGTAACAGAGACACAGTAATGCAGGGGTGCAATCACCAGTTCACAACAGTGTTAGGCTGCAACTGGGACTCTGAATTTTAGGGCTTTTCCGAGTTTTGTGGAGATTTCACTAGGCAAGCAAAGGTTGGGGTAGCATTCTCTATTTGGAGCTACTTGTCAGCTTCTCAGCTACTCCTGATAATGACCACTGTAGGTTCAGGTGACCAATGAATGTGTGCCACAGGCTTAATAACCTTTCACTCTCATAGTCAAGGGGGCCACTTTGATGCAGCCCTGGGAAAGTAATTCAAAACTGGTTGTGATTCACTTAATATGGCAGGGGTAGGACGCTTTTCTTCAGTGATCCAGATTGAGAAATAAAACAGGACAGGTTCAAACATCCAACAAAAAATGGGTTGTTGTTGTTTTTTCAGGCCTCTGCATTCTTCAGAAGGAAAAATAGATACTAACGCACTGCTGTGAAACAGGTATCCTAGGAATAGTCTAGCATGCTTGCAGTTTTGCTTCACTGGAAAATTTAAATAATTTAAAGTTAACTGATTTGATTTTTCAGTCTGATTTAGACGCACTCTGTTACACAGTCCCAGACAGGGACAGGCAGCTGGCACTTGTTTGTATGATCACTCTCCAGACAGTAATAACTGTCACAGTATTACCTTTCACTCACAGCAGTTATCTCCAAGGAGCTCCAGCACCAAAATTCTGTTTGACGGGTAGAAATACGGCCCTTTCGTGTGCTCAGTGTAGTGAGAAGCAATTGCAACATAACTGTGATGACGGGCAACCATTCTACAACATTGCACTATGGCTGCAATGGCGATCACAGGCTACCACTCATCAATAGATTTTTCTGGCTTGGAGGGATCTATTAAATACCAGCAGATGGAGTTGTGAGCGTCCTTGGAGAACTGACTAATTCCACAACCTGTGGAAATGCTCTCCTTCCATTTATGGCTTGGTCTTTTTTGGAGACAGAAAACAAGTGTGATAGGGAAACTGAAAGACGGGAAAGGAGCTGCCAGAGCCTAGAAGATGTTCTCCTGTCTTCACTGTTCCAAGAGCTCAAGCTTGGTCAAAACCCCAGTGCTCTTGCCAGGGAAATCCTCTACTTTGATCACAGTGGAAATCAGAACTCTGCCCAGATTACTTACTCAGCAAGGGATAGGCCCTACCAACCTGCACAGGTCATTTTTTGCTTTTGGACTCTACTGGTCTTCTCAGGTTGCCATAAGAAATACCACAGACAAGTCAGCTTAGAGAGCATGGATTTTTCATACAGTTCTAGAGGCTGGAAGTCTGAAATCATGGTGCCGGTATGATCAGGATTTGGATGAGGACCCTCTTCCTGCCTTGCCGATGGCTTCCTTCAGACCATGTCTTCACACTAGAGACAAAGAGCAAACTCTCTGGTATTTATTCTTATAAGGGCTCTAAATCCTAATTCTTATAAACGCTCTACCTTCACGACCTCATCTGCACCTAATTACTTCACAAAGTCCCATCTCCAAAGAGCATCACAGTGGGGGCCAGGGCTTCAACATGTACATTTTGGGTAGGACGTTAGTTTAGCCCATAGCACTAAAGTAGGAACAGGAGGATTCTAGTAGTATCTTGATGGATCTCCCTGTTCCTCACTAGATTCTACAAGCTCAACAGGTTTTTGAAAAATGGTAATCATATAACATCGCTCCCTATACAAAATCCTCTAATGACCTCCCACCATACTTAGAGAAACTATTCCATGGACTATGAGGTTCCTTATGATTCACACCCTTCTTTCTTCTAGTTCCTTCTTTGTTGACTTCACACCTGCCATACCAGGTCTCTCACTGTTCCCCAAGCATACCATGCTCACTTCTCCTTCAGGAACTTTTCAGTTGCTATCTCCCTGGTCGGGAGCACTTTTCCAGATCTTTGAATGGCTTGTTCTCGGTCTTTATTTTCACCTTAACTATCACCTTCTTGAGACACTCCTCTTTCTCCTGTTCTCTCTACCTGTATGTTCTGGTTCATGTAAGTACCATATCTTCGAAGGGCTTCATATATGAAACTTCACCTATTTTCTCTTTATAATCTCAGTAACTAGAGCACTGCTCAGAATAGAATAGGTACTAAATTAGCATTCATCACAAAAAGTAAACTGACACACATGTCAAGGACTGCCTTGTATATATTGTCATCCTAATCCTCTCTTTTGATCTCCAGCCCTGTATACCTGCTTCCTTGATGTCCTACATTGACCCTTTTATAGACATCTCAAATTAAAAGTTTTCAAAATTGATCACTCTATCCCTTAAAACGTACATTTTGTCCTATGTCCCTCTTCACATAGTGATCCAAGGAAAGTCTGGGCATCATCTTTAATTTTTTCCTCTTCCTCTCCTCCTTGCATGCAGTAAGTAATCAATCCAATTATTCTATTTCTGAAACACGTCACGCCTCTTTTCCTCCTCGCCCCATCTCTACCACGGTCCCTTGTCCAAAATGCCACCATCTCTTGCTGGGAGCACAGCATCCTGCAATAAGTCTTCCCACTTTCATTCTTGGCACTGTCTCCCCCTGTCTATTTTCCACACAGCAGCCAGGGGTGCCTGGGTGGCTCAGTCGGTTAAGCGTCTAATTGTGGCTCAGGTCATGATCTTGCAGTTTGTGAGTTCGAGCCCCACGTCGGGCTCTGTGCTGACAGCTTGGAGCCTGGAGCCTGCTTCAGATCCTGTGCCTCCCTCTCTCTCTCTGTCCCTACTCCTCTCACACTCTGTCTCTCAAAGATGAATAAATGTTAAAAAAAATAAATAAAAAATAAAATAAATAAACAGCAGCCAGAGTGATGCAGGGCATTTATTTTAATAGCAACAGGTAATATGCTACTAACAGCTACTCTTTGGGCACCTGAAGACAAACCAAACCAAACATGAGTTTGGCCCCCTCAAAGACTAAAAATGCAAATCTGTACATGTAACTACTCTATATTAAAAGTTTAAAGGGGCCCATGGGTGGCCCAGTCAGTTAAGCATCCACCTCTTGATTTCAGCTCAGGTCATGACCTCCCCGGTTGGTGAGATCGAGCCCCAGATCAGACTCTGTGCTGAGACTATAGAGCCTGCTTGGGATTCTCTCTCTCTCTCTCTCTCTCTCTCTCTCTCTCTCTCCCCTGCTCGCATGCATGTGTGTGCTCTCTCTCAAAATAAATAAATAAACATAAAAAAAAAAAAAAAAAAAAAAAAAAAGGCTTAAAAAGTGCTCTCACCACCCTTAGAATAAAAGCCAGTGTCTTCACCAGGCCATGAGTATCTGTGTGATCTGACCTGTCAATTTCTCTCCTCATAGCTTGTACAGCCCTCCCCCTGCCTCTCTTAGCTCTGGTTGCAATGGCCTCGCAGCCCTTTGAAACTGCCTGCCACCTGCTTTTCCCCTTCAGAGTTTTCATGCAGGATCTTCCCTGCCTGGGAAGGGATTTCCTCCACTCTCATCCTAAATAAGTAATCTCTGCTTCTCCTAGGACTCAACTGAAATGTCACTCTTCAATGATGACTCCCGTAAAGCACCTGTTCAAAACTGGACCCCTCTTGTTAAACTCTCTTCACAGCACTTCCATCTGGTTTTAACATAGTTGGTAATTACAGATTTATCTGTAACTGCTCAATAGCTGCTTTTGCCATTATATTGAAAGCTCCAGGAGCTCAGAAGTCATGATCTGCTGCTTGTTTGTTTGTTTTTTTAATGTTTATTTATTTTTGAGAGAGAGACAAAGTACGAGACTGGAAGGGACAAAGAGAGAGGGACAGAAGATCTTAAGTGGGCTCCGTGCTGAGAGCAGAAAGCCCTACCCAGGGCTCAAACTCATGAATCGTGAGACCATGACCTGAGGCCAAGTCGGACTCCTAACCAACTGGGCCACCCAGATGCCCCTATGGTCTGTTTTTTTTTTTTTACCTGCCTTTTCTTCAGAGGCTAAGCTTAATACCAGGTACACAGTGAGCATTCAATAAATATTATCGTAACCCAAATAAGTGGAACACTCTTTTCCACCCCAACAAGTACCCAATGACCTTTTATCTCTTGCCCCTTGAGTGGCCAAAAATAAAATGCACCAGCAGGTTACTACCATGTAGGATATCCCAAGTAACTGGGGAAAGAAGTAGTATTTTAACCATGGTTTTCAGTGAACTTTAGTCTTTTGCTCAAGAACAGAGGTTTTGGGGTCCTTGGGTGGCTCAGTCGGTTGGGCGTCCAACTTCGGCTCAGGTCATGATCTCCTGGTTCACGGGTTCAAGCCGCGTGTCAGGCTCTGTGCTGACAACTCAAAGCCTGGAGCCTGCTTCGGGTTCTGTCTTCCTCTCACTCTGCCCCTCCCCTGCTCATACTCTCTCAAATATAAATATTAAAGAAATTAAAAACAAAAGAGAATTAAAAAGTTTTCTGTAAATAGTGGAAAGAATCATGTTTTCTGGTAAGGAACTTACATTTGGTATTTATTTGTTTCTTATTGTTTGTAAAGCATACCTTTAAATCTATTTTTCATGATAAACTGATAATTTATTAATCAAAGTATTGGGATTTTATAATTAAAGTGAAATTCTGCTACACAAAAAAAGTGTGAAGACACATGTGTTCTATCCAGTGATTCAGTTATTCTTAACTAAAATTACTCTGCCATACTTAACATAGGACTTAGCGTAGATTTTTTTGCCCTAAAGTTTTACTTAGATAAATAATTTCTATACCCAATGTGGGGCTTGAACTCATCAGAGCAAAAGTCACATGCTCTTCTGACTGACCTAGCCAGGAGCCCCACTGACATAGATTTTTAAAGTCCAAAATACTATTTTTTTAAACAATAACAATTATTATTATTACTAACAACCACAAAAGGCCGCACCTCTAAATCCAGGTATTTTTAATGGAAATACAAAGGATGAAGTAGTCATCATAATAGGAAGCTATTTTGGGATCAGGCCCGAAGCCATCGGCTATAACTGATTAAATCAAACAGAGGGCCAAAACCAAGATATCTCAATCAAGGCTGGCAATCTAGACAGGGCCCATGGGCTAATTTTCTGTATTTAAGCGGCTGAAAAGTAACCAGTAGAAAATATTTTATGATATGTAAAAAAAACTGAATCAAATGCAAATTTCACACAACCATGCCTATGAACTTACACAGTGTCTAGATGTACTTTCACACTGTGATGGCAAAGTTAAGTAGCTGCAACAGAGACTTCTCAAGAGTTTTTGACTGTAACCTCAGTAGTAAGTTTTACATGGAGCACTGTATATTCGCAGACACATAGCTGTAAAGCTTCCCCAGACAGTATTCACACTGCTACAATGTGCTCTACTGTGTTCTGTTCAATTCTATTTCACTTAAACCATATTTATAATGATTCCGATTCTGACCCACTAATGATAGCTACTCATAGTTTTAAAAAAATTAATTTGGGTTTGTTTTCTCAATCCTGGTTATGTAATAAATCACTTAGGAAGCTCTTGAAAAAATACTAGGCCAGTCAAATCAAAATCTCTGGGCACCTGGGTATCACTCTTCAAAAACAGCAAGCAAATTAACAGCCCCTCTGGCTTACGCTGAGAAGCCTGGGCTGAACACTAATCCCCTTGCCATTCAAAGCAGGGGTCTTCAGTCGAGCGGCATCAACACCTGGCAGTTTCCTAGCAACTCATAATCTCAGGACCCAACCCAGACCTACTAAATCAGATTCTACTTTTTAACAAGATCCCCAGATAATGACATGCCTGTTGAAGTGTGAGAAGCACGGATCTAAACCAAGAAACAGTTTTTGATTAAGCACTGCAGCATTAGATTATGCTCTCCTCTGTGGGAAAGGAAAATTGCGTATTTGCCTCTGGTTATTATTGAATTTGGACCGGCAAGGGCAAAATGTGAAATGGCAGAAACAAAATGTGCCCAGAGAGAAAAGCTGTTTCATGTGTGGGAGTTTCTACCTGCAGAAGACCATCCCACTCCAAAAAAGAGGGGGAGTGGAGCTGGAATCCAAGACTATAACGTGAGTGACCTTGATGTGCCAAGCCCAACCAGACCTCCAAGTGGGGTCCAAGCATACGGCAGCCTTGCCCTCCTCCCCTCCCGCTGCTGCAGCCAGACCCACTATACAGTTTCTCTAATCCAACCTTTGCACCTAGGCCAGAACCAGACTGGCTTCTAGGAATCAGAGGACAGGCTCTGCTACCGTCCACTTGATCAGAAACATCCGTGTTTTAGAAACCAAAGCTCTCTGGTGCGTTTCATCCCAGTAAGAGCAAAGGAGGAGGTTCTGAGTTTGCTCTGGTTGCCGAATAGGAGGCTTCCCAGGGACACAGTGAGTCACAGAGGAGCCACGGAGGGGTGAGGTCTCCAGCAACCTACACAAACTCCTTGGCAACTGGAACCTTGGGCGGAAAGTTTTCCCTCTGTAATTTCCTCAGGCCTCTTCCACAGTTTCAACTATTTGTGTTCTCACAGCATTTCCAAATGCTGGTTTTACCCTCTGCTGACCTGAGCAACTCTATTTGGTATCGTTAACTTTTTAAGTGCTGGTAAGAGACCGCAACATTGAGTTTAGATTTTGCTTTGTTCCGTTTTTGGTGGGGGAGAGAGGATGTAAAGCAGAGGTACTAGATTTAGAAGCATGTATTGATAGAAATTTCATCAAATATCACAAGGTCTAGGCATGAGTATCAGAAGACACCTTTTTCTTCACTTCGTCCTTCCCCCGACAAATACCAACAGTAAGAAAACAAACAAACCAAAAACAGACCTAATGACCACATGTTCATTGACCACATGTTAACCTCTCTAGAGAAGCCTTCACAACTTGGATGTTATTGCTCTCAGTCCCCACCAGGGAGAGAGAACTCTTCCTAGGGCAGGGGTTCTCAAAGGGTGGTACCAGGAGAAGCCACTTCACTTGGGAACTTGACAGAAATGCACATTCTCGGGCCTTACCCCTACCAAAACTACTAAATCATAAGTGCTGGGGCTGGGGCCCAGCCCTCCAGGTGGTTCTGAGGCATGCTAAAATTTGAGGACCTCGGTTCTAGGGAATAACTAAATTCATACCAGCTACAAATTAAAATGGTCTCAAAGATAGGTTGATCGGTTTCAGAAAACAGCTAGTTACTAACCTACCCTATCTTTAAAAAAAAAAAAAAAAAAAAAAAAAAAAAAAAAAAAAAAAAAAAGTTGAGTTTATGAAACAGGATTCTGAGCATAGATAAAGACTAACTTTTTATGGCCACCATTGGACTTTTCCAGTAAGGGCTTAAAAAGTTGTATGGGTAGGTCATCTTTTGTTGATGATGTACTCGGACGGACATGAATCTGTCAAAAGGAAAAGAACACACTGCTCTCATTTTGCCACTGAATTATAACTTCCAGTCAATAAACTAGACAAATTAACGTCTACCTGGAACGAATTAACATACCTCTAAACAAGGTGAAGTTGACCTATCAAGATTCACTTACCACGAACAAACCTCTGTTCCCATTAGTGCTTTAAAAGGTAAATTAACACACATACAAAGACACATGTAGTGCCTAAGGTATGTTTGCCCAGTGAACCATAAACTATGGTTTAGCAGGGATTGCTGAACAAAGCAGACTCCAAGTTGCTACCCAATCCTCTGGGACAGCTGTAGTTAGTTCCTAGAGGAGCCCAATCCCAACATCTATGTAGGTTCCAAGTAGAAACATCTTGAGATCACACTAATGTATATTAAGGGTTGCCAAACAATAACAAAGGGATTAGAGGCAAATGATTTTTCATTTAGAAAAAATTTTTAAAAAGGTTAAATTTTGGGTAATATTTTTATAACAACCCACATGGTTTACTGGAAGCAGAAAAAGAAAATTCCAAGTGGAGAAAATTTGTTTCTGCTTAAAATTTACATAACATGCATTTATTCATGCATTAATCTGTTACTTATTCTTTCTTCTCTCCTCTTCACACTTTGAGGTCTCTTTGCTTAAGGGATGGATAGTCATCATTAGTGAGGAGTGCTCTGACTTATAATTATTGATTACCAAGAAAACACAAAAGTTGTGGTTATTTACAAACTGTGTGACCTTGGTAAGTTATTTCATTTTTTTAAAAAATATAATGTTTTATTTTATTTTAATGTTTATTTATTTTGAGAAAGAACACTTGTGTACAAGTGGCAGAGGAGCCAAGAGAGACGGAGAGACGGAGCATCCCAAGCAGTCTCCATGCTGACACAGCACAGAACCTGATGCAGGGCTTGATGTTGTGAACCATAAGATCATGACCTGAGCCAAGATCAAGAGTCAGATGCTGAATCGACTGAGCCACCCAGATGTCTGCCCCTTGAACAAGCTGTTTTAGCTCTCAAGAGCCTGTAATCATTTCTGCAACAAAATTATAATACTTCTTTTATACGGTTCTTGATAGTAGATGTCCTATACATTCTACCAATAGAATTTTCTCTTAATAAGGGGGAACACAGTGGAGAAACACACCAGACATTTATTTGGGTACTTTATTTTGCTGTGGAAACTAAATATCAACATGCCAAACTTCTTTGTTTATTCCAGATATCCTTTCAATTCAGAATGTCCAAAGAGAAGTTATTCCCCCATCC